TGTTATTTACAATCCTGCACTCTGACAGTTGGGAAATCAGATTGATTGACAGTGGGACGCTGGCGGATGGAGGTTCCAGGCACGCAGACAGACTGAATTCAGAATGTGGGATGAATGCCACTGGGAGAATGGGGGTGGAGAAGGGGGGTTGAAAAGCAATTAAAAAAAAAAGATTTCTAAATTATTAACATTTTTTAAATTATTAATGTTATTGGTGCCTCCATGTGAGCCCGCAGATAAACTGCGCTTTGTACTGGCACTAATAATTTATAGCCCAACCAGAGCCCTGTGGTGTGGAGACAATCCAAAATACACCAAGTTTTGTCTTGTCAGTGTTACACGAGAGACTCTGTCTGTGTAGACTCCTTGTCTCCCCCTGTCCACCCCAAAACCTTAGGGTGACCCCTCACCTAGCAAATGCTGATGAACCAATTTAATCATAATAATAAAAAAATACGTCAGGCTTTTAATGTAATGAGCTACTTTGCCCATTCCATGGGGGGAGAAGGGGGCGATGCCAGCAGTTCTGCAGCAGAGGCTCTGCCTGGATGCGTGTTCCGCAGGTACCCGGTGCCCAGGTTAAGGGCTCTGTTGTGACTGTCTTTACAAAACCAAAAACCTAACGTGTTTTGTGCCGAGTACACACTCTGTGGCATTCAGCACTGTCTCCACAGACCTGCATGTCACGGTTGAATATTCAAGCATTTGCACGTCTGCACGTGTTACCCCTTCGTGCACGACGCACGTACACACGGTCCTCGGCTTCGCCACACGTATGTGTGGGAACTCCAGCCCTACGGCGTGTGGCTTTGCCCCGTACCTATGTATTGTGCTTGCTGGAGCTCTGCAGCTCCGTAAACACCTGGGACAGCCGAACACCACACGCAGAATCACGTGCCACGTTCACTCCGGTGTGCCTCAGCGCAGGTTTATGCCGTGCCTTTGCTGATAAGAAAATCTTTACTCCGCAGCGAAAGGAATCGCCTTCTTGCCCCCAGAGAAGCCAATCAAATCAAACAGAGTGGAAAAGAAGACAGCCTCTTCATTAACCTAACAAGGAGCCCTGGGGATTTGCACTCTAGACAGGAGATTCTCCTCCAGCTCTTGCTGGATGCTTCGCTGATGTTGCCTGCGCTCCTTCCCTGGATCACGCAGCAGGTACGTGTCAGCCCTCCGCGCCCCGGGTAGGAAGCAGATTCTCACACAGTGTTGCTTTTCAGTGACGCCTCAACCCTCTGCTCCCAAGACTGGAACAGCATCACCCATCTCCCTGGCTTAGCCTGATCCAGAGAGCTGGGTCCCTTCCCTCACCCCTCGCTCCTGCATCAGAGCTCTCGGGTTCAACGCAGGGCTTTACTCTGGACCAAGCCGAGCCAGCATCGGGCTGGCTTTGCTCACCCGAGGGACAGTGAAGTGAGCCCAGGAGCCTTTTTTTTAGTCTGTGGAGGGATGCTTGTGACTCCTGTGCTCTGCCAAGCGGTTCTCAGGGTAGAACCTGTAACTGCCTGGTGCCCCCTTTAGGCACAGCGCGGGGTGCTGCAGCCGAGCTGGATTTAGGCAGCTTCCTTCACAAGCGAGGCAAAACGTTCAAGCAATCCTTCAGTTCCTGCGGGACCCATTAGATCCTGGTACTGCAGGACCCTCGTCCCCCCCGGGACACCACTCCAGCGCCAGGACAAGGCAGCAGCATTGGACAATGGCATGTGTTAATGAAGAGGCTGCTTCAGGACCAGGTTTCGGATTTTCCCTTCCTCGCATTAACATAACTGCACAAGCACCAGCCTCCTTTTAAAGAGCAGAACGGCAGCATCTCCCCTTGAACAGAGACACTGGTACAGAAACACTCCTGTGCTGCTGAAGCCTGGACACAGCAGATGGGCAGGTTCAGGGGCACAGTCTGCAGTGCACACAGCTGGCTTTAAATGAAGAAGAGCTGGGGGGTTCCTCAGCTGTCCCCAGTGCCCAACCTCAGAGCACCATACCATCCCAGGGGGGTCTGGGGACAACTGCTTAGTGCTGGAAGCTGTAGTCTACAGGGTCCTTAAGGCAACACTCTGAGGAAGCTCTCACCAAGTGAGCATATGCTGGGCATGGAAGAAGTTCTCTCCCTTTCAGCAACCCTTTCCCTTCCTTTTCCACAGCGGATCTGGTTTTTACTAGTGAAAGTGCAGATCAACCCTTAGTGATGTAAACATAGCTGCTTTCGACAGATGATACCATGGATGAACCTGCCTCACTGACTTCAGCATTCGCCTGCTAAGCTGTCTTCACTGCAACTTAGCTTCATCTGCATATTTTAATTGTCCGTAAAATCATAAGACATCTAATTCTCATTAAGGTGAAAGGTCTTTAACACCGTTTTACGCTACATCTGTGTGTAGCAACTACTGCACAAACTTTCTAAACCTAGTACTATCAACGCTTAACCAAATCCTGCAACAACATCTTGCTGTTTCAGACCCCATCACTAAATGGCAGGAGTATCTGGCACTGCCTACATCTCACAACCCCCCAGAGTTATGCCCTTGCTCCACGCTGTGATCCAAATAAGACTTACACCACAGAGTCTGAATGTTAATATTGACATGAACTCTTGAAAACAAAGGAAGAAAAGGACCTGCCTCACCACCGCTGCAAAATACACAGGAGTGATGTTGCAGCTAAGCTATTCCAGTAAACAGTGTGCCCCCCCCAGCCAGCCACAGGAGGTATTAGCATTCATAGATGGCTGAAGGTAGATGCCCCCATAGAGATGGTGGGAGAATCGGTCTGTGGGACACTCTTTAGCACCACCTCTATTCATCGTGTGATAAACACGCGACGCCGCAGCCCGTAAATCCTCCTCACACGGAGACGGGGGTTAGGGACATCTTACAAAATCGGTGCTGAATGGCAAAGCGAGCCCCTTCTTCTCCCATTTGCAAGAGCGTGTACCTCCGTGGCTGGGCACTGCCATGCTGTTGGCCAGCTGGTAGAGACGTTGTTGCTGCTGCTCCTCGAACGTGCCGTGTTCGTTCAGCGCCGACATCATGCGTCTGTAGTGCTCCTCCGGGGTCATCTGAGTCACCGAGTCCTCAAGCAGAGGCGTGTGGGAGTTTTCTGAAGAGTAGAAAGATTTGGTCTTTTTTCCAGAGAGAAATACAGTGGAAAATCACATAAGTATAGGGACAGTGCAAAAGAAAGAGAAAGGGGGGGAGAGGGATATTAGCACAATTTCCCCCAACTCTCTGGCCGTACCCTCTGAACTCGCTGCACCAAGCCTCCCAATGCAGCTGTCCCTGTGCTCCGAGATGTACCATTATATGCAACCAGGACACACCTACAACTTGCTAAACCTCCAAACATGGGCACACTTACATACAGGAAAGTCTACAGCTTCAATTGCCACAGCACCCAAAAAACTCATGAACAACTTTTATTTTTTTTTCCCCCCTAAAGCAACAAGCTTTGCATTATAATAGCATGAAATTACCAGCAAGCCTCTACCTCCAAGGTGGCAAAGAGGACAGGCAGGATGAAAGAGTTCACTGAGTTCTCATCCTTTCATCTTCGGGAACGTGACTTCTTTTTTTCAACTAATACCTGATCAGACACGCACCTCTCCCCCCCCAACCTTTCCGAACACCCGTGAGGACACGATAACGTGAGAGATGTTCGAGCAGCCAGGGCGGGTGATGCTGACAACCGCCCAACGGACAGTCCACCTGCCCAGCTCTTAGAGGGAAGTCACACGAGCAGGTTGTTTCAGACCCGTACATCTGGCTAAGCACCCCAAGGCCATTAAAATTACACCCCACATGCCTACCTCTCCATCTCCCCCGCACCACTGCGCAGCCCAGGAGGGAGGCGCTTTGAGGAAGGCCCTGCCTGCTCCCTGGGCAGTAGGGATCCCACTAACAATCAGGGAGATAAAACCACCAAGGCTTTCTGTTTACTGTAAGCAGAACTCAGAGTAATTACCGTTCTCCGCCTTGGCGGTGGCTGCTCTAACACCGGTTTATCTTGGATCTTCCCCACAGGCAAAACCTTTTCATTACTCAGAGAGGAACTCCCAGTAACAATCTAAGCAGGCAGAAGGGAAGGGAGGGAATGGGAAAGGCTCCCCCCAAGCTGCAGTCACAAGACCACCGCTGCGTTCAGTGACTGACAAGACCACCCTACCGTGTGCCCCAGATTCCTGCTCCTTCATCCACCGCGATTCGCAGACAGAGTCCCTCAGGGATCATGGCAGGTGACTCTGCTGCCAGACTGGCTCCAAATTCAAGGTGGTGGCTCCGAGCACAGGCCACTCACTTCACACCAGCATCAGCGCTGTGATGAATAGGCAGGCACCGGACATCTTGCTGGGAAAAGAGCTGCAGATCTCTCTCTGGTAAGAGAAAGCCCCCTAAGCTAGCTATCAGAAAAGAGCCTGTGGCAAACAAAAGTCCAAGAGACAGAGTACGCGTAAAGCAAGGCCCTGACACAGCAGCTTAGGGGCCGGTTCACTTCTGCCTTGGCCAGTATGAGAGGCCACTAGTAGCAAGTGCTGCCTGCCACCGAAACTCATTACTCAACCAGAGACTCAGATTCGGGGATGCAACCTTGAAACGTTAGAATGAAGCCACCTCCTTCCCAAAATATAGGAGGGACTAATAGTAATAACAAAGAGCCTAAGCTGCACAAAGTTTCAATAAAAAAGGGTTGCATCACTGGCTCCGCAGGCACTCTTCCTCTGCAGAAAGGGAAATTACTTCAGTCCCCTCCAACTCGGGTCAGCCGTCCAGCTCAGCACAGATCCGCGATCAGCACGGCAATTTGTGGCCATATCTGCAACCACCGATCTCTACCCCCGTGACATGCATCTGCATCTCGGGGACCACAGGCTTCCTGTGTAAATCACAGGTTCATGGCCTGCTTCAAGCTGCCTGGTAGCAGGAGCTGGATCCCCACCCTGCGCCGCCTGCGTCACATTCCGAAACCAGACCCGAAAGAGGGAGGCTGCAGCAGCAGCCTGCTCCCTGCCTGCTCCCTCCCACTCCCCGCCTCCGGTACCCAAGACTCTGGTGGAAGGAGCAAGGGGTGGGGGACAGGGCTCCCCCCTTCCCCATGCCCTTCCCACCAGGTCACTCTGCGGGCCAGATTCCCACATCCCCCTCCGCACTCTTGCTGCTCCTGCCACCCCCCCCAGGCACGCAGAAGTGCACCAACTGTTTCAGTTCCCTTCTGATGCTCTTAACCAAAGGTCTAAGGAGCAAAGCCACATGACACAGACCTGATTTAGAAAAACACTTTTTTTTTTTTTCCCCCCACAGCTGTGTCATTAGAGAAAAAAAAAGGGAGGGAGGAGGGGATTTAATAACACTTAATTACCATAAACCCTATCCGATCAGCCACAGAGCAGATTTCAGGTGCAAGGAGGGGAGAGAGAAGGGGGGTAGCAAGGGGAGGCTAAGAGGAAGGAGGAGTCCAGGGAAAGGTTGGATTTCCACACTTAAAACTTGGGAGATTTCACATGACTCAGCCAGCGATAATTCCAGCTTTGCCGAAGCTTTTGTCATTACCAGGGGGTAATGCGGGAGACTGATCTCACCAAATCTCTTCCAGCTGCCAGGTGTGAAACGGACTCTGGCACGGTCACTGGGAAGGCAGAGCCGTGGCAGGCATCCGCTGGCCTCTCCAGCACACCTCCCCGCTCACCCCAGCCAAGGGGAGCCCACCTCTCCCACCCCCCCAGCGCTGCAGGGTCCCGCTGGTAGCAGCCCCAGGGAAGTCAGGCTCTCTGAGGATGCAGGTTTTCTGCTCAGCCTGAAGGACCCGTCATTGCTGCACAACCTTTTCACCAAGCTTTTATAAGGGTCGTCCTCCCCAGGCAATCCCAGCCTGTCCATCTCCTCTCCTTTGCTACAGCAAACCCATGACGGGCTGAGGCTGCCTTCACTGAGCCACAGCAAAAGCTTAAGGAGCCTGAAAAAGCATCTCAGACCAGATTCAAAGCCAGGACTTAGCCAGTACAGCTTCAGCGTCTTTGCTGCCTGAGCTGTCACTTGCCAGGGCAGAGAGGGACCGTGCCCACCCCCACCATGCTCAGCAGCGTGGGTTTGGGGAGCAGTGAAGTTGTCAGCAAGAATGGGGCCAAACGTTTTTTCATTTGGCCTAATTGGGCAGCTACCAAAGCGATCAACATATGGATAACGCCCCCACCAAAGAAGAGTAACAAAGTGAGAGGCTGGATCTGAATTACCCAGCTGTGGTCTAGCCCCAGTTCTGGTCTACTTCATCAACCAAAGATGTAATAAGATTTTATTTTGTTTTAAATGATCCGCAATAGCAAAAAGAATGGCAGAAGGAGCAGCATATGAGCTCATCAGCCCACCCCAGGGGGTGAGTGCAATATTGTTCCCTACATGTGTTTTCCAGCACTTGGTCCAGTCTAGTTTCAAATCTTTCCAAATAACGAGGCTTCGACCAGATTTATTTTTCAGCGGTTCAAACAGGAACCCAAATACTCTTACTGATTTTCTCTTTTTTTGCAATCGTTCAGTTTTATTTCACGTCTCGAGGTATCGGAGAAGCAGATCTCCAGACATGCTGTTGCGGCAGGAGCGAGGGTTTTACTTGGGGAATTGTCTCCCGGGGAGAAAGCTTCCTCCGTGACCTGCCAGCACAGCCCTCGCTCCGAGCCTCTGATACGCTCGCATTTCCATATTAGACGCGAGAACGTTCTGCTCTGTTTGACAGCAGCGCTGGCGCGGCCCTGTTTCCACTGAGATAGGGCTCTCTTTTGATCTCTGGAGCGCACACTGCGAGCATCGGGGAGGGGGGAAGGGAAGGTTACTGCTTCCCCGCTGGAAGGGTTTCCAGCCCTACAGGTGTTTTTTCACTCAGTCAGAGAGAAGGAGTGATTTACTTGGCTGCCTCTGTTCTCCTTGCCTTGTCAGGCGCAGCCACAGCAGCACGAGATGTGCCGCGGGCACGGGGTCACTTCTCCTCTTCAAAAGGCTGTTTCAGAGACAATGCAGCTGTGCCCTGAGGAGAGCTGCATCCAGGGCCGGCCTGCACGGCGAGGGGGAGAGTGCCCACCTTGAGCTGTGGCACAGGAGAGTGAAGAAGGTGGAGGACCAGCACCCACACAAGACACGCTGGTGGGCCGGAGAAAAAGGAAGGGTGCGTCCCAGGGAGACAGCGTGGGGCTGCATGGGCTCCTCGTCTCCAGTCGGTCCCTATTCCCCTTCCCACTCCTAAATCACAAACCACTCTCACAGCATCTGGGTCCCCACCAAGCTGGGGGCTCTAGCACAATGTCGCACTTCCCCAGCTACCAAATTCCAGGTAACTGGTCACTAGGGACCACTGCGTTTGGAAATGGCTCGTCACACAACACGGATCCTTCCGTTTCCAGCCAGCTCCTTGGCACGGAGCTGGGAGCACAGGGAGCGGTCCCCCCCGGCCCCCCGCTGTACCCCTGCCATGGAGCACTGCCCACCCACCCCAGGATGGATGGGAGTCTCCTGGCAGCTCTCAGCTGCGAGGTGCTCTCGCTGTTTGGGCCTCACGACACAAACACTGGCTACAGCTCCTCCTTTGACTCCCTTTGCATAGCAGGGGGTGGGTAGGTAAAGGCCCCAAAAGCACAAAGTCTCGGTCCCTGTTCAGCCCTTCACTATTCCGACGTACTCCAGCATCAGCACAGCCCAAGGTTAAAATGCCTGCCACAGCGGTGGGGCGAGCAGGGCTTCCCCAAAGATCTGATATAATAAAAAACAGGTAACACGGGAGATGAGTAAAGGGCCTGGCTCAGAATTTCCATTCTGTCTCACGCTCTGTTTAAAGGGCAGGGAAGGCTTTCTGAGACAAAAAGTGGGAGTAGAAAATGAAAGTTTGGTTTTTACTCAGGGTTTCCCAAGACCCCTCTCTTAATGAGTAGGGGGAATCCCTGAGTCATTCAGAGTTAAGGAGCAGGATTTAGCTCCTAAGTACATACTGCAAAGCCAAGGGCTGCTTTCCTGCCTCACACTGCACTCAGCCCACTCACGTAAACAAAAACGGTGGCAAGGCCAGAGGAAAGAAATGGAGTGGGATTGTTTGACCCCGCTGCTCCCGTGGCAAAAAGATCAATTTGTGCAAATTCAGCTGCTTTATTAGGGTGAAGCCAAACGCAATAGTTTGGTTTCAGATGGCTTGACTAAAGTTTAGCCCGTTCTCAGCCAGGCCACATGGGCTGCCATTACCTGGATTCCGTTCCTAAGCATGCCCTGTCTTGGAATTACAAAGGATACAGACTCAGCAGAAACAGCAAAGACAACAGCAGGTGTATCAAGGGTGTTACAAGAGTCTCAGGCCCCTATATAACAAATGAGATTCCCAATCTATAGAAGCACCCTGCTGGAACTTACCTGCATGTCTACTAGAAACATTTCAATAGGACTAGGGCAGATGAAAAAAAATCAAGGAAAACTGGTAAAGAGTAGCAGTATATAGGGTTCCTCTCTACACCCTTCAGAAAAACCCAGTAAAAAGCTAAGAGTTAACAGGCAGGAGAGTGTTAAGTGAAAGATAAAATTTAGTCCGTTCTTGGGTAGTGCTAGCAATATTATATTAAGTGACACTAGCATTCAACAGCCTCTCAGAGTATGCTGCCCTTCACATCATAATTTGGGGACAAGGAGTCAAGAAGAGACAATATACAGGAACATTATGTGACATCAGGATGCAGTACAGGTCCCTACAATATATCTCTGTATAGCAGAATATAAGGGACGTAGTTTAAGAAGGCTTCAAACTGCTGCAAAAAGTCCCCTTTGAGATTCCCTGGACTGGTTAGTGAGAATATACACCTTGAAGAGTCTCAGCTGCTGGACTCCAAACCCATGAAACAGGATCTAGCTTCAGGCAGCTAGTCTGCTTTTATTTTTTACCTTTTTTTTTTTAGTGGCCAAAAAGTGGAGGTTCGGCACAGTGATGGAGATGGGTATTACTGACAGCTAATTAGTTTGAACTTAAGAACAAAGCCTTTAAGTGAACGGCCTGCAAAACCTCATTTACGCAACCTTGAGACAAACTCATTAACTGCAGGCTCCATTACCCATTCCACTTTAAAAAAAAAAAAAAAAAAATTAAAAATCCCTAAAAAGAGAAACCTTCTGCAGATTCCATCTCTATAGGAACAGTGCCATAAATGCATAAGAAAGAACTAGGCAGCCCTATTCTCCCTGCTAGGCTTCTTTTTTTCCCTTTAAAGGAACAGATGCCAGCATGATAAGCCTGTGTGTATCTTTTATATTAAACATGTAATCAAGACATTCTGCCTGAAAAGTAGAAACACCCCTAAAATCCACCTCAAAAGCTGCAGCTTGCTTTTTTAATCATAAAGCAATTATTCTAATTAAGAGGCAATCCCTTTCTCACCCTGCAAGCTTCCCTCCGATTAGATAAAGAAAGCACAGTGCACTGGTAGCCTCCTTCATGCACCCTCCGAGCCGGATACTTACAGCTCCCACACCACAGCCTCTCGCAACCCTCCCTTCCCTCCCTCCTTAATTTCAATTAAGTTCCACTCTTAAGAAAGGAGAAGAAAGGGGAAGGGGATGGGGGAGGGAGAAGCAGCACTTACCCTTTGGGGACTCACTTCTGGCTTTCTTGCTTTCTAAAGGACACTCACTGCTGCTGTTGGGAGAACATACTCTTCTCTTGCCTAAAATTTCATCTAGAAGAGAGATGAGAAACCTGAGTATCAGATAAGGTTGTACTTTCCTCTTTGCAGAAGCAACCAGAGAGACTTTGGTATTTTGCTTCTCTCTCACACACACACACAGAGACACACATACGCACACATATATTACAAGCAGAGGGAAAAAAAAAAAAAGAAAGTAAGAAAAACCATCATCTTGAGAGCCTTGATCTGCTTTCCTAATCACGCAGTCCAAAAGCACATAATGACTATTCGCACACTGATCAATGCAACGTTTTAAAGCTATAAATTCTGAATCCAGTTGATTTCCTTACTGAGTTTCATCATTTGTTCTGTTGCCTTTTGTCCCCCTGGTGTTTCCACTCCTTTCATGCCCTGATGCAAAGCAACTGGGGGAGAGAAAGGGGAGGAAAAAAACAACACAAAAAAAAGCACAACAGATCTCTGAATCTTCCTACCACAGTATCTCTCTCTCTCTCTCTCTCTTCTCTCTCTCAATCTCTCTCCCCCCCCTTCTCCCCCCCCTCCTCCTTCAAAACCTCAAGGTCCTTAGCAATCTTCCCCCTCTAGATTGTACGGAAACACTCAAGCCTTTTGCATTACTGCAGCCCTACAAACCAACACAAAATATCTAATATACAATTACAGCATCCCCGAACAGATTTAAAATCAATATCCTCCCATAATAATGCTGGGGAAACTGAAAGCATGATGTTGCATATGGGCAGGAAGGAAGAGACTGTTTGTCACTGCAAGCATCAAATTCTCATCTATCAAGGGCTTGTTAAAGATGCAGCATCTTAAAAGAAAAAAAAAATAATAATCTCACAAACAAGCACCATATTTGAGTAGAGTGTACGCTGCATCTGCCTGTGAGCCAACACGCGTGCAAAGCTTCTGCAATTTGCCCAAAGTGTCTTGGTTAAGAAAGGTTACAAACCCCCTCGGTGCTATTTATAAGAACAACAAAATTATTTATGTTCCAGGGGGGCATTTTAAGCCAAGCAACTGTCCCTCGTACCCAGAATCACTCCACATTACTTTGAATTCAGCCAAGCAAGCCCAGGTTCCTGCCTTGGCATTGTATTTATCAAGAGATCCAGAGCAGAGATCTGTGGCTGCCACAGGCTGAGCTGTGCCGGGAGCAGGCAGTTAACGTGCCGAGGGCAGAGCCTGCCAGGCAGTGCCTTTATCCAAAGAGCAATTCTGGAACTCTGCAAAGTTACAAGTGGCATTTCAAGGTTTTAAAGAGCACAAGCTGCCTCCGATCTTATCTTGCCATGACCCTGTCACCCAGCCTGTTAGCAGAACTGGCACTCTGAGACTACTGCAGAGGCTTGCTAGCATCCATAACCAAAAGCAAAGTAAATACAACAAAGCAGTGGCAACTGGAAAGCAGATGGGAAAGGAGAGAGTCAGCCAGGGACAGCATTTTAAGTTTTCTAAGCACTTCACATCCCAGGTGTTGAGTCAGCCTTTCAACACAATTTGAATTTTATCAATCCTCCTGCCTCAGTTTACCCTTTAAATAACTTCTCCAAAGCCACAGACAGCATCAGTTTGCCAAGGCAGCACCACAGCTAGGAAGTACCTGGCCACACAGCACAAATAGAGCCACAAGCTCCCTCCCCACGGAACGCTTCATTCTTCATGTTGATTTTCCTGGAAATGTTAGTCTGATGCTGCAAACCCTCAGCGCTGGAGGCCAAGATCATATATCCTCCTCAGAAGTGTTCTCATCCGGGATTTGTGGCTTTGAAACAACAAAAGTCCCGTTGCTCTGCTCGCCCCTCCCAGCCTGGACAGAAGGCAGCAAAACCCAACAGGGCTTGTTCTTGTGTACTTCAGGCAGAAGAGACTCCATGGGAGAAGTGGTGACAGAAGCACCAGTTACATGTGACAGCAGTTAGAATATGAGCAGTGAAGATTCCTTGATTTCACAACTCTGCCAAGGCACCTCATTACCCTCCTATCACTCCTTCTCTCTCGCTGTTCCACTCCCACCCCCGTGCGCCCATCTGCCAGCAGACATTCGCTCCGACTAGCACCATGCCCCGCTATTCCCACACACGTCAGCAGGACAGGTTGCAAGTCCCATCTCCCTCCCAACCGCCTGCACTTGTGCAGGGGGAAGACCAAGATCGCGCAGGAACTCTCTGAAGCAGAACCAACTCCACACCAGCCCCTGCCCCACCAGCCTCCACGACACCCACCCCTCGGCACACGCGCCGGCGGCTGCGTGAACAGTCCGTGGGGAAGGGGCCCCACTGCCTCGCGGTCCAGATCTGAACTTGGCCCTCCGGAGAGATCCCACATTAGTGTATTCATCTCTAGGAACGATCTGCAGCGTTTTCCTTCCAGCATCTCAGGTTCACGCTGTACCAAAGCACCAAATCCCACACACCGAGTTTGGATTTGGGTTGCCCCCCAAGCAGTTTTTATGGCAGTCAGTTAGATCACAGAATGAAAATTTTCCTCTTTTTTTTTTTTTTTTTTTTTTTTTTTTTTTTTTCTCTTCTCCGTTTAAGGCAAAGTCCTGGGATGCGTCAGAGACTGCCTCCTTCCCCAGAAGTGTGGGGACTAAATCAACAAGATAGACAGTAAGCAAGGAAAAGGGAATAATTAGCAGCAGCAGCCAGTATGGAGGCACAAAGATCTAACAATCCACCCCAAATTTCCTGAGTCAGTAGGAGAGCACAAGACGAAATAGCAATCTTCTGAATTCCAGCTCAGCGTTCTAAGACGTCATATTCCCTCTTCGCTTTCTTAGCTGCAAAGCAGGGAAGAGGCACGTCACGTTTTCATTAGTGACTTTGTGAACTCACAGATTCTGGGGTACAACCTAAACGGCAATGTGTTTGTTTTACAGCACCAATCCTTTCCTCTTTACAGCTTAAACCACGTGCACAGCTTTGGCACCCCACTCACACCTGCTGAACACCTGCCCTTTTACAGGACCCTGTACTCTAAATTCATCCCTTTGTGCCCAGAGGCCATTCAGGGAACCCTCTGCACTCGCACACAAAGAACCAGGACAGTGGCTGAAGGCAATGGGATGGGAGCATCCACACACTCCGTCTCCCCCTGACTTTGCAGCAGCAAAACCAAATATGTTTTGCAAATGAGTTGGCAGCGTAGCTTCTGGATGTCTTACCACCCTCACAAAGACAGGTTGTGCATTTCGAGTACGTTGCTACTCGTTGACCAGAAAGCCAGAAGAGAGCTGTTTGCTCAGCCCATGCACCTGCAAAAGGCAACACTCCACCTTAGAGAGAGGATGGGGGAGGCTTTTTTTGTTGTGTTTCCCAAATCCCTGCTTTTGCCTCCTCTTTCCTGCCTTCTGCAAAGCAGTTCAGTTGAAAGGAAGCCAAATCAGGGCAGGTTTTTAATACTAAAGCTGAAAATGAAAGACATTATCAGTAGAGCTGTAACGTTACGAAGCTGGGCCAGGCAATAACACAGGTAAGGAGCTCTCGAGGAAACTCCAAGCATACCGATCACTTACTGCCACCACTGCAACACAGCCCTGACCACACAAACTCCCCCCGCAGGTCTCCCCCGCAGGTCCCCAGACCCTGCATTACATTCGAGACTCCTGTCAGGCTGACAAGACAGCACAGAACAGATCCAGGGAGGATTCTGGAAACAAAGTCAGATTTTTTTTCCTCAAAGATCTAGAAATCAAAGTGGATTTTTTTCCACGCTTTTTCACGGGAAGAGGAAGTCCAGCAGCACTCACCTGCTGCACTTCTACAGTGAAGCACGAACAGAGACAGGCCAGGAAAGTAGGTCAGCTGGGGGAGGACAGCACTTCTGGCTCCACACACAAGTATCACCCACTGGCTTTGCAACCACAGAGAAAAGGATGCAGGTACAACACCATACAACAACCTTCTGTAGAAACCAGGGCAATGTGGGTTTAATCTAATCACAGCTCTCTGTGGGCTTGAGAGACACTGATTAGAGGCCATGGGTGGAAATGTCACCTGGAAGTAACAGTGCTTTGTACTCCTGCACCGCCTCTAATCCTCTGCCTCCCAGCACCCAGCAGAGCTGGATGACTTAACAGTCGTGTTCACCAACACATCCAAGAATCCCAAGCCTCATTATCAGATTTGAAGAGAGGACTTGGGAGCCTAAGTCAGCTGGGAAGATTAGAAAACTAGCTCTAGGTTTCCCCAAAGAGGGAGGAGCTTTGCCACCACTCTTTACAAGGGAATCTGCAGCAGAGCAGATGCACCAAGGACACACGTTGCACCAAGGGCAGGGTGAGAACTGAGCCCATGTCCCAGTGACTGAGCACAGGGTTTCACCTGGAAAAGGGACACAAACAAATATGAGGTCGTCGCATCATTTTTGCCCTCCCAATGTTGTTAAATGGGGGGACTATAGAGTTCTGACTGCGGCCGAGGGACTGTGCCAATTTTTTCTCACTGTGTTATGCTACAGCACAACGGGAAGAGATCAGGACCTCTCTCATACTCTCTATCCATATCGTTGGGTTTTCTCCGAAAGCTTCTTGGACCCAGAAGTCCTGAGTAAACAGAGAACTGAGCCAGTGTACATGGGAAATCACCCAGGCTCAGATAGCCAACATCTAATGAGAAGAGAGTCCTTTTTTCACCTCCTTTCACATTATTTTTCACTTTATTTTAAGAGGAAAACATCCTCCCTTGCTCTTTAACTCCCCCATCAAACTTAAACCCTGGAGACGACAATTCCCACTGACCAGTTTGAAACGTCTTGGCAGCATCTCAGTTTATTCAGCTCTCCCCTTTCCTTTGGCACAAACAGGCTACCACCAGAGGAGCTGCTCTGCTCAAACAACTCTGGTGCTCCAGCCCTGCTGCTCAGTCTGTTCCTGTGCCGAATGTGACAGGTTTGCAGGGACCCTGGAGACTTACTCCCCAGCAATGGGCTTGTGCCTTTGTAAGAAGCTGCACCAGCTTGCCTAGTCCCAGCAGGCCCAGAGCTGCTCTCAACAAAGGCTGGCGGACGAGGGGCCACGCAGTCAG